GCACTTTTAGAGTTTCTAGGTTTCTGAGAATGTCTACTTCAAGTTGGGATTCTTCCTTCCAAAGATGTGTTAGCTCATGAAGTTTGGACAATCTTAAATTTCTTATTGGAGTCCGTCCACGCACAGGTTTTTCCTCACTAGTAACTTCTTCACATTGGAATAGTTCATCGAAGAAAGCATCCTTCACAAGAAGGCTTTCGAGATTGGGCAGGGAGTGGAAGAAGAAAGGAGGAAGAAAAGCAGATTGGTTAGGAAAGCCGATGAGGTGCAGAACCTCTAGTTTACCAAAATACTCCTCTGGATGATGTCCACACTGTATCTTCATGTTGTCATTCCATTTCACAAACAGGCGTTCTAGACTAGGAAATGTAGCCTGAGAAATTGACACGAGTTAAGAAGGCAATCCAAACTTTAAATAAATCTATTATTCTTTGATAAATTTGTTATTTCTAAGTTATACAAGAAATCTTGATTTTGGAAAAAAAAAATAATTTTTACGCTTATTTCTAACCATAAAAATTGACTTCCACATTTTTTTGTCATTTAAAAATCACTTCATCTCACATAAACTCATCTATTTTTTATTTCCTAATTATTGTTTTGTTTTTGCAATTCTTCCGTTTTTCTATTACTCCAATTTCAAGAAACAATAAATTATTATTTAGGTGATTGCTATGTAAAAAATCTTTAATTATATAATCATATAGGTTAACTTCGAGAATATTCTTGTAACAAATTTTTTTAATTTGAAAACCATTATTCACTTAAATTAGATGAAAGACCTGAGTATTAAAATGAAAAAGAATTGATTTTTTAAATAGCTTTTTACTCATGATGGCCAGAAATTAAATTACATGAAGCTTACTCCCAATATAGCATTAGGATAGGATAACAAAATTTTTGCTAGTATCAGAAAAAATGAGGGCAAAACATTTTTAAATTAAGGTGATCAATCTCTACACGTAGGAATTTAAAACAAGGTTGAGATATTTTTTTACAAGTTCTGATAATTTTGTTTCTTTATCTTCAAAATAAAATAAAATTAACACGGGGAAAACAAATGGAAAATTTTCTTTATTCTGTCTTCATATATTTACTTTTCCTATTTTCTTTCATTCATTTATTTTAAGAACAAAAATGAAGAGCATGTATTTGTATAAGATATGTCCACTTTTTTCCTTTTGGACTTGATTGTACTTACCTTGCTAATCCAAAACATGAGATGTTGAGATTCCCTTTCAAGTTGGCTGTCTCTATGTGTCATCTCAGTTCTTGAAAATTCTGAAGCAACTATTTGTGCTCCATGACAGTCGATCACAACTAAACCTTCCAATGATGGCCATTCTGTGATGTGCGTTTGAGGGAAGAAACTCTTGAATTTCGGTAAGAGTCTAAGTATCAGCTCTGTCACTCGAGAAAATACAAGCTCGGTGGCCTCTATTTCCACCAAAGTCGATTGCGTGGCTAGCAGTTTTTGTGATCTGGTATCAAAATTGACTCTTTCAAACTCAGAAAATTTTCCTAGAGAATCACAATTGGAGCAAGATGTTGCAAGTTGGGGTAGGTCATTAAGTATCAAGGTCTCTAGTTTGGGGAACACCGCCGTTTGGCAAATCTTTTCTTCTTCCACTGTCCCTTCTATCAATATTACCACTTCCATCATCTCACATCCACTAACCCCAAGTTCTTCAAGTTGTGCAAAACTTTTAAGCATTGAGAATGTAAACAGATACTTCAAATTGGAACAGTTGACCACTTTCAACTTTGTTAAATTTTGGGCAAATGAAGATATTGATGAAAGATGACTGTTCCAAATTTGCTTTGTATTGATTGAGGATAGAGTCAACTTCTTCAAGATAGGAAGCTCAACCTACAAAGAAGTTTTAATTTCAGTAAAACTTTTATTCTTGAATCAAAGAAAAGTGTAAAAATGACATGAGAGCATAATCTTGAATTTCATACAATATAAATTTTGATATAGAAAAATTTAGTTTACGAGGAATAACAGTATACATGTTACATGTTCTTATTCTCGCTAAGACTTTGACCTTTGTGCATCAAATACATTTATGTCCATAATTATCGAAGTGATATAGAAGAGTGGAAATTATACTCTATGAGAGAAGTGTAGTGAAGTCTTGCCCTTGTCCAATTTGTGGAAAAATATTAAAACAATAAAAAATAAAAAATAAAACTCACCTCATCACAAAAAAAGACCTCAATGAAGATATTAGGTTCTTTCTTGACAAGCAATTCCTCACTTCTTCCATCAGTTGTCTCTTTCTCTTGCTCACTTGAAAATTTAAAATTGAATCTAACCATCTTTAGACAATCCTTTACAATAATTTTCTCCAGCATTGGAAACTTGAGGGTCTTACTTCCCACATAGAAACTTGACAACTTGGAGCAAGACTCTAATGAAATGGACT